TACAATCTACAATGAAAACAAGGCCACAATTAAGTTTCCTTAATTTCCTTTGACACAAAATTGTTTATATAATCACATATCAACTTATATATTTAGTTCTACCTCCTGTCAGCACACAGAGCTCTACCTCATTCTTTATCATATTGCAATCCATCCCATCACTGGATGCACCATAAAAAGTCTTCCATTGATAAACACTGAGTTGTTTCCAGTTTTTGTTATTACAAGGATGAGAAACATCCTTATATGTTTATCTTCGTAAATGATAATCATCAGCATATAGATGGTATTTAAGGCCATGGTCCTGAGTAAGATCACTTTGAGAGTATAGAGAGGGGAGAAGAGAGGTCTCGGGATAAGCCTGAGCATTCCAATGATTTGAAGTCAAGAGATGAGATACCAGCAAGGGAGACTTGAGAAGGTATAGCCAGGGAGGCAGGAAGAGAAGCAAGAGAGAATTGTGGCATTGAAGGTCAAGGAATAAAAGTGTTGTAAGAAGAGCAAATGCAACTGTACCAAATGCTACTGAAAAGTCAAGATGAGGAGGGTGCTATCTTAAAGCAAATTTGACCATGTTATTCTTCCACAAAACAAAACAAAACACCCCACTATCAATACCTTCCTAGTATACTGAGAATAAGAATCTCGCCAACCCCAGCCCTCACACACACATGCCCTAATGTACACATACAGGACATTTAAAAAACCCTACATAATCTGACTCTTGTCTCCTCTATAGCCTCGGTTGCACTACTGCTTCTCCTGTTGCTTCTGATGCTGGACTTCCTTCCAATTTTCAGATGAGTTCCAATTGTCCACAACAGGGACTCTCAAATTCCAAGGTACATAAGAATTGTTTGCATTTCTAACAAGTTTCCAGGTGATATTGGTGCTGCTAGACTATGAACTATATTTTTGAGTAGCAAGGACCTAAAATATATTATTTCCCCTCCTCCTAGCTATCTTCTATTCATTTTTCAGGTTTCAATTTAAGTATCATTTCCTCAAACCTCCTAAGATAGTGAAGGGCTCTTCTTCCATGTTTCCACAGCACCCTGCACACCTGCATATTAACTGTGACATTTACAAGAATTAATTCACTACCTTTCTTCACTGCTTGTCTCCGAGTTGTCTGAGGGCAGACATTATGTTTCTCTTGTTTGCAAATGCTTCCCTAGTACCTAACTCTATGCCTGACACAAAGGAAGTACACAAAAAATATTTGCTGATTGATTTAAGTAACTATTCAGGTCTGTATTTCTTGACATGGAAATATAATCACAAAATAATAAATTTAAAAATCAGAATCATGGATACAGAGAGCATTTTGATGGGTGCCAGACTGGAGGGGGGTGTGAGGGAATGAGTGAAGAGGGGAGAGGATTAAGAAGTACAGATAGGTAATTAGAGAATAGCCATGGGGATAAAGTATGGTACAGGAACGGAGTAGCCAAAGAACTTATGCACATGACCCATGGACATGAACAATGGTGTGGGGACTGCCTGAGGGAGTGGGGGATTCTGGGTGGAGGAGGGCAAAGGGAGAAAAATTAGGACAACTGTAATAGCATAATCAATAAAATATAATTTAAAAGAATGAACACCCAGAAAAAATTTTAAATCAGGTTACAAAACATGTACATAGCATTATCCCAAATTAATACAATTTATTTGCATATAGAAAGTTTGGAATCATATATTTAAGAATATAAATAGTATTATGTCTGGATAGCAAGACTTTGAGTAACTTTTTCTTCTTTGTATTTTCTTGCATATTTTTCATATTTGCTAAAATGTTTTTATTCTTTTGTAGCAAAATATTAAATGAAATTAAACACTGAATTCTGACACTTAAACTGTAGTTTTCCAATATTGTGGTAGTTGCTGTTGTTTTAATGTATAGAACTAACAGTCTGTCCACATTTTTTTTAATGTGACTCAGAATTTCCCTAGTAATCTGAAGCTGAGTTGAAGGTTAGATCTGGTGATCTATAGCCTAAGCACTGCTTACCACCCAAAAGCTACCTACAAGGGGTACCTGATTTAAGAAAGTCAGCTAGTTTTTGTAGGATGGCTTTTTTGCTAACTCTATTAATGGTGGACCAACAAAATACAGAGGCAATTTTACATAGACAAGTCAGTGACATGGAACGTAAGTCTATAAATAGACTCAGTAACACACTGGAATTTAAAGTGTGCAAAGCTGGCATTTCAAACTAAGGAGAAAGAGTGTATTTATTGAATAAATAATATTATACAATTGGCTAGTTATTCTGGAAAACACTAATGCTTATTCTTCTTATCAAATTAATAATAGATGGACCGGAGATTTAATTTTTAAAAAGAAAGCCATAAAATTTGAGATAAAAATATGAGCCAACAAAGCTTTGCTTGCATTACAGCCTGTTCCAGCCTGTTCCACCTCCTGTCTATCCCCACAACCTCCCCGCCCAGGTAGAAAAAGTCTTCCATGAAACCGGTCCCTGGTACCAAAAAAGTTGGGGACTGCTGCTCTACAGAATGCCACACATGGCTTAAGCACATGCACACACAAGATGGATGTTCAGAAGGCTGTTCACCAATGAGTAACGCTATCTAGGTGTTTAAATATTTTTAGTGATTTCCCTTATTTTAAAACCCAAAATCTAAAATTCCATGCCAAGGATTCTAACTAAATGTTTATAAAGTGCTCTTTAGAAAATAGACATTTTAAAAGCAAGAATATGAACAATACAGAACATTTTTATAGTTCTCATCAAAATTGCCGCTTAGCAAAATAAAGTTTCAACAATACAATGCTATTTTAAATAAACTTAAGTATGTTCCCATGCTATTTCATTAAAATATCCATGGTGTTTGCCACATGTAATCACTATATGCAGAACTAGGCAAGCATTGAAAGTATGCAACACAAGTATTATTACTCTTTGTAGTTAAGTTTATTGTACAGAAGCCCCAGAAAGCCACCAAGCAAAAGGGTATTCATTTCCTGTTTACAACTACCTTTCTTGAGAACACTTATTAGTGCAGAAAAAAAGTATATATTTCTCCAAACTTGTAGGCTCATCAGAGAGCTATATTTTGAAAAGGTTAAGCTATGTTTAGCAAGGTAAACCTCAAGAGATGGATGCTGGAGAATTAGATATTCAGTACCGAAATGAACTTCTTATTTGGTGCTTAGGAACAAATTGCCAAGAATTAAATTATCATCATCAAATAGAACATTTATTGACTCTCTTGAAAAAAGAAAGTGAGACCTACTTGAAGAAAATAATTTTAGAATTAGAAAGAAACCAGTATTTTTAACACTTTGCTTAACTAACAGAAGCTGTAACTCCTCAAAATTACCATTTGGGTGCAAATTAACAATGGAAATGCCTCCAAGCAGTAGTTTCATGACTACTAGATTAAGTTTATGTCTTTTTTCCACACTCAGCTTTAGGCTTTCAATAGACATTCCAAAGAACATCACAACAAAACTGCTATTTTCTGCCAAAGACATTGGAGCACAGTTTTGAAATTTCCAAAATTCTTTGCATATAATTATTTTCAAAAATTTAGAAAACCACTGACTTAATAAATGAAAACTAAAAAACTTAGATGTATAAAGTTACAAATAACAAATCATTAAAAAATATCTTTGCCTAAATATAAAATAAACATGAGAATGACCTTCAGGGACTCAAGTCAAATCTGATTGTGATTACTAAATAGGAAAACCAGAGGATTGTATAAACCATGAAAGAGGGCAGTAAAGTGTCACAATTTTTACTAAAAGTCAGATTTAAGAATGCAGACTCAGAATATACTGTGAAAAGAGTGGGTAAGTTACTAATAATTTTGTGCTAGTATAATTGAAAGTGATCTTTTAGAATATTATTCTATATATCTAAAATTGTTAAAATATAATACCAAAACCATTTATATCTAAACTTGTTAATATTTAATATATTTTAATATTCTTAAAATGTGTAGGAGATGATTTCTCAGGATTCCTAGCATGTCTTTTAAAAGGCAAGAGACTTTGGAGCCTGCACTCTCCATGGGCAGGTGACAGCACTCCCAAGGGGGTGCAAATTGGTGCATTGTGGGGAGGGTGTGATGATAGAAGATCACTGTTTTTATACACAGCGCACAGCTACACAGGGCCATAAACAGATGTACAGTATATCTGGGGCATTAAAATTTAATAAGGAAGGGCATTAGGGGGAAAAAAGTCTAGAAAGGCTCCTTAAGGGGGTGGTAATGAAAAAAATTTGAGAAAAACTAAGTTAGACATATCTGGATTTTAATCATTAATCAGAGATAATAACTTGGACAAATACCCTGATATTATGGAGCCCAAGCTTCCTGATGAATAAATTGGAAATTATGACTTTGTCCTTATAGCTGAAATGTGAGTAGGAAAAATGCAAAGTACACAGCACAGCAGTAGAAGTATAATTACTGCCAAATAAATGTTGACTCCCTTCCCTTTTCTCCTTTTTTATACTCTTCACTAAAGAATACTCAGATTCAAGAGAAAGTGAGACACAAGGAGAAATGGAAGAAACAGCAGAGACGACAACCTGTGTATGCGACCTGTGGACTCAGGAGTGCCCAAGACGTTGAAATCTAAGACAGGCTTCAGGTCCCAAAACTGGGACTTTCTTAGTTGTGCAAGCCTGGTGAAGTTATTTGATTTTTATGAGCCTCAATTTTCACATCTGTACTCCAGAGCTGTTGTGTAGAACAAATGAGACTATGTATGTGACACTCTTTGGGAATCATAAACCAGTAAACCAAAGTTACCTTATGATAGGGCATGGTTCATGGTGACGATGGCAGGAAATGAAGATACTGACTAGACCATGTGTACTGGGAAGAAATGGAAAAGAAGGAAAACTGCTCCTCTGTAGGGTCCAAGAACATAACCAAGTCTTCAAATCTAAACCTCAAAGGCAGAACTTCTTTGCCAGCTTAAATCTAGTTCAAAACAAAAGTACCGATGGAACTCTTACCTATCTCTTTGCTCTTCATCTGTCAAGCAATCATCTAACAAGGACTTCCCAAATACTCTGAGTAGAGTATTGTGGCCTTTCTTGTCGGCTGTATGATATGCCCGAGAAGCCAGGTACAAGTTGGTGGGAAGCATCCAGGCTGGGACAGTTGTGCACAGACCATGAAAGGTAGGAATGGAGTGGTCTTGTAGAACTCTGCAACAAGAAAAGAGGGCTTCTTTTATCATTGTGCGATTTTCTGACATAAAATATATTTACACTAACAGTTTAGTTCAGGCTTTGAAAAGGATGCCTTCATGCAGGAGGTGAAATTTAAAACTATAGTAATGATTTATAACAAATTTGCTATCACAGTTGCAGGCCATTGACCAGATCTTCGAAGTCATGTATTCAACTGCCTGCTGAAGATAATCAATCTGTGTCTTACAGATACCTCGGAATTAACAGATCTAAAGCAAACTCATTATCATCCCACCCCAAACCTCTTCTTTCTTGAATTCTTAACTCAGCTGGTGATACCATATCCAGCCACCATGCATTACTGCTTTGCAACTCTGCCCGAATGCTAAAGCTCTAAAGAAGTACATTATCCATTAACTAGCATTAATGGAACCCTGGATCTAAGTTCATGTGGCACCTTCTTCCCACAATGCAAAAATTTGCCTCTCCTGCCTTTCCAAAACAGAGAAGGCATGAAGAATGACTTCTTAATCCTGTCACATTCTATCTAATGAACAAATATTTTTTGAGCACCTACTATGTGCCAGACTCTCTGCTATGTGACTTATACACAATCCTCTCTACAATGAGCCTATATGGGAGGTATTATTATTCTTACATTGGAACAGGCTTATTTTGGATAAGTGACAAAATTACAGAGTGGCCACTAGGATCTCAGCATGATGCTGCTGACCATAAGCCAATTTTTTCCCAGTATTGTCTGTTAATGGCCCCTCAGGTGAAAACGGCCCTTATCCAATACCACTCCATCCCCATCTCCCTACTTAAGTTATACTATTACATTAACCAAGTGATGACCTTTTCATCAAATCAAATAAACTGTATATTTATATTGTGTTTTCTATGAAGCTACAGCTGATAGTATTGACGATCCTTGTTGAAATTGCTCCTCCTCCCTCCATGAGCTTTTTTAAGCCTGTACTATCTCAGCTCTACATCCATCTCTCAAATTAAACATAATTTGACTGGCTCTTCTTTCTCCATTTCCTAAACTGGGTATGGCTTCCAAAGCTGAACTTTTCTTTCTGCATTGAAAACATCAGTATCAGTGTCTCAAGCTATTTCCTCTGTGCTGAGAGCTCCCAAATCCTGTCTCCAATGTCAGTATCTCACCCAGATTCCTCATCTTCAAGATATAAAACACTGGAGCCACCTTTGACTCCTCTTTCCTTCACCTGCATATCTGATGAAAAACAGCTTCCTCCCTGCATAGCGTTGCTCAGGTGTGCTCCTTTTCCCTCCGTACTTCCAACACTGTCTGTGTCCTCAACACCTCACACCCTGCACTAGCAACAGTCCAATGCCAGTCAGATTGAGCACTGCACCCTCTGTCTCTTCCCCTCTCCAATATCTCCTGCAAAATTCTATCACATTGATCTCTGAATACTCCTTTACTCAGCATGATGGTTCTTTGTCACTTGCTGCATTCATCTAACTTCTTCTCTCTAAATTTCAAGGCCCCTGACGTCTGGCCCCTCTTCTAATCCAGTGGTTAAGAGTGTAGAGTGCAGTGGAGTCAGACTGCCTTTGCTCAAATCCTGTTTACAATTATCACATGGTCATAAGCAAATCAATTACTTTACATTTCAGTAAATTTGGAATAACAACATTAGCACACGCTGGATAAAATTACTTTAAGGAAGAAAGGAGTGAATGTATTTAAAACAGCATCTCTCACAGGGCAGATGTTCACTATTATTATCCATCTCCAGGACAACTCCCAGGATCAGCAAGGCCTGCCAGTTCTTTCAGTGATGGATAGAATGCTGCCTCTCCTTTTGCCCACGTCTAAACATCCTTCAACAACATCCTCAAGACAAATTTTTCTGCAACATTTAATTATTTTCCTGTTTTACAAATATATCTTTTCATACACTGCCCTATTTTTGTGCCACCCATTCTGACCATTTATCTAAAAGGTTCATGCAGATCTGCACACTAACTGCTTTACACATCTGCATAGTGTCATAACATGAAGAATACAGTCTTTGGAGCTGGCAGGGCCTGGATCAGAATCTCAGCTCTAACACTTGTAAACTGTATCACTAACTTCTCTGAAGATCTGCAAAAATGGAATAAAAATCCCTAACTCTCGCCTTTGTAAGAATCGATGACAATGCTTGTTTTATTTGTATTGCTATAGTTATTAACTTTCCCTGCACTGCACAATGCCTGTTGCTAGGCATTACTGAATCACTGAGAGAGCACTCTGTGCCATTTCTAAAACAGCACAAGGCCCAAAAAGAACAGAACATTAAACCTGTACCTGTTCGAGTATAGGAGGGTAAAGAGAGGAAAACCTAAAGCATTTAGAAATGTCTGAGATGAAGAGACCTAACTGGAGGAGTTAAAATGGGTGTCCAGGAAGTAGAGATCCTAAGAAAGAACTGGAAAAAAAGAAGGGAGAAAAAAGGTGAGCTCTGATGTCAAGCTCATCTCCATCATCATTCTGTCTGGGGCAAGTCCTGGCTAGTGGAGTGCACTTGAGATTACATTACATATTTTTTTCCTTAACAAAGCCACACAACCAATCTTAATTCCTTCTTTGCCATTATACTGTAATAACATAGATTTGTAAGTGAATATCCCTTGGTTATGGAGCTAAACACTATATTTTCCAAAGGGGGCTAAATTCCCAAGAAAACATATTAATTTAGGAGATATTCACAGGTGAGAAAAGTTAAGTTAAAAATGATTAAGAAAATAGAGCAAAGAATAAAAGATGTTCAGAAACATTTTTCCAAAACTCTATTTTATTACATAATTTTTAATATCATATTCCTCTGCATTCTTATTTCTCATTCTTATTTCTCTCTAAGAGAAATTTTTGGTTTCAGTTTTAATGAATTAGCACAGTACTATGTATATCAAAAAGATCTACAAATATTTTTGGCATGCTCAAGAAAGGCTGTGTGTTTTTACAGCAAGCTCTCCTTAAACAGGACTATTTGTCATTCTTTGAAACACTAAGACATAAAAAAGAAAAGACTCTGACTCTGTGTGTGGCCATGCTACTTTGCTTAATGCATTAAATGCAAGGTTTTTTAGGGGAAAAAATCAAGAAGTTTCTGCTTCATTGATAATCTGACAGTAACTATTTATTGAAGGTAAAATACTTGTTGTCTGCTGTCACTATTTGTTTTAATACATAATCTTGCTAACTAAATGAGCTTAAAGCAATGCAGATAAGCAATGGCATGTACAGGGTCACTTAAATGCCAATTTGACTCTTTCATAAACTTTGGAATTCTTTTCCCATGAGTCCATTTTCAGCTACTAAATTGTGAGTAATATCCATTTACAAAGTTTAGGCTAGCCATAAAAAGGTTGTCTTCCATGTCCAGCACACCTTTCAGTGCCCTAAGCCACAACAAAAGCTAATAATTAAAGCTTCTTTAAGCCCCCATAAACAGTTAAATGAAGAAGAATCTAGAATAAACCAACCCATAAAAATCCAGTGGTGAAATAAGGAGAAAATCTGTTTCAACAAGATGAACAGCAAAAGATAAACCCATAAATCTAAATTGCAGTTACACACTATTATTCAAAATTGTGGTTACCTCTTGGTATAACAAGAAAGTCCATTGCAAGTGTGGTGGAGGAAATAAAGCATGAAATAATAGTAGAGAATAAAAAAGCTATCCAAATAACCAATTTAATTGGCCTATGGAAATATGCATTGGGTTGTCTTTTACTTTATTTTATAAAAACAAAGTTAACCAGTATAACAAGCAGTTAACCTAAATTAGGCATTACATAGATTAAAAGAAATCAAATCTAACCTATTAACATTTATTTCTTTAGTCTCACAAACAGCTATTTTTATTCTAGCTATTGTTATGTCATTAAACCAAGTGCCTTGATCAGAAATAGAAATAAAAGTGTGGAGCACAGCATACATGTCCTAACTATGCTATCTGCCACCAACCCTTCTGGGAGGAGGTTTAATTTAAATCTCATATATACATTTCAAAAACATCCCATTTAAAAATGCATTTTAAGATATCAATGCTACTAAATAATTTGTCTTCAGACAGTAAAATTTGTAAACTTAAGTTACTTTTGTTTTAATAGTTTTTGATCCTGCCGGGGTTTTGCAGACTTTTTTTGTAGTGGAATTCTTAATTTACTTTTTCGTGTTCGCTTAACTTCTTTTCCTCTGATTTGCAACAATTCAGATGATTTCACCTTTAAAAAATATAAAAGTATGCTGTTAAAAAAGTTATAAATGAGAATTAGATCTTTCATATTTAATGGCTCATCTCATTACTTAAACTACTAATTTCTATGCATATTTTATAACAAAATGTAAATCTTAAAGTTGAGTTGATATATTCTTACGACTCCCTTTCCAAATGCTTACATATATACCTTCACAGCAATAAAAATATTAGTACCATATTTAGTTATAGTATTTTATTGCCTTAAAACTATTGAAGAAATGTGTGATTTTTTCCCTCCATAGACCTACTCTTCTTGATTGACATTTTTACTAGGACTTAAGCTTAGTCCTTTAAAGCTTGGCATGGCTGGTGGCTGCAAGTACAAGCCAACATGGACTTTAATGCTTTACATACTTATTTTGAGCAATGTTTATCAATTTGTACTTCCTTACAATTGTACTCTTTTCTATTTCTACTGCTTGAAAAAAACAAATGCATATCTATCACTTAAATAATAACCTTTTAATCATTATAGGTATTAGTATTGTTTTCCTAGATTTCCTCAGAAATTTGTAGAATTCATGGTAGTAGTTCATCTAAAAATATTTTTCTTTGTGGGTTACTCTGTATTTTTTTCAGATTAGATTTAAGAAAGAAAGCAGGGTGGCTTTTCTTGAAGAAAGCAGAGAGATGTGGCTAAATAAGTGTGGAAGGAGACCAAGAAAAAGGAGGTTTTCATAAATGAAGTAGCCAGTTGGGGCTCAGGGCAGTCGTGAGAAGAGAGCTGTTACAATTTCTTGAGCAAGAAAGTGATGACGAATGAGGAAAGCTCAGAGTACAGATGATTCCATCTCACCATCCAGTTAATGTTTAAATTTCTTCTACAGTTTCTCCACCAAATGGTTATTCATTCTGGCTTGAACATGATCAGGAACAAAGGACTGAGAACTCTTTGAAACTCTTCCGATTGTTGGAAGTTTTGCTTATTACAGAACCTAACAACTTTCATTCGCTAGTCTCAATTCAAACCTCACAACCTAACTCTCTTCCTTTTGACAGAGAGTCAGATACTTGAACGCAGTTGACTCCCCTGGACCTGCATGCACCACTCCCATCCCACAGCTAAACATCCCCAGGGCCTTCAACTCTGCCTTACATGACATAGTCTTGAAAAACTGTGCTTTGTCATCTTGAATGTTCTCTTCCAGTCTCCAATTTGTCAGTTTCCCCTGGGACTCCCCTGGGGTTGGATACCCATATCTCAATGCAGTATTTAAGATGTTATGTGATCAGATCAAAAAGGAAAAAAAAAGATCCTTTTTTATGGTATTTGTCAATCAATGCAAACTATGATTGCATTTTTTCCTATAACTAAATTATAGCCTAAAACCCTGAAGTCTTTTTCATGTTTGTTCTAAGTCATATCATCCCATATCTATGCATTTAGTTTGTGGACCCAAAAGCAGAACCAAACATCTTTTACCCCAATTAAATTTCACCTGAGATCTGATTAACCAAATCTAACCAAGTCACATTTTGAATGTTACCTGCAAATCCAATCAGTAAATTCTCCACATTCTCATCCAACTTATTAGGAAATATGATGAGTTGGACACAGCCATATAGCAGTCCACAGGAACATTCATGGGAAAGTGTGCATCCTTTGCATAACTGAATACAAATCCATCTGGTTCAACCTGACTGCAGTCTTGTCTACCAAAACTGCCATTGGGAGGCTTTCATGAATGGATAGTTCAAGTCCAAAGGATGGTAACAACAACTCATGTATACTGAGTTTTCTTGTGTACCAGGCTGTCCACCATGATACTATTGTCTTTAACTTCAAGTGTAACACTTTTCTCATGCTCAGTCTAGCAATTCTAGGAAAAGAAATAAGGTTGGTCTTCAATGGCTTGTCCCTTAGGGAAACCATGCTGGTTCCGAGTGATTACTGCTTCCATATATAAAGGTTCAAACACAGTTCTTTTAATGATGCATTTAACCATTCTAGAATTTTATCTAAGATAAATCATTCATTACAGAAACCAAAACCCTGACCCTTAAAAGATAAAACTCAGATTTGCCATTGTCAGTATCCAGGCATCTAGCACCTACCTCTCCCACTGCAGCAGCTCCTGAAAGCCTGCTGCTGACAAGGGCTCAACAGTCTTAAACCTATCTGTCTAAGCCAGCAGGCTCAGGTAGCTAAGTTAGCTCTTAAAATCTTTACAATCTTGGGCTTCAAGTTTCTTTTATCAATTCCTTTTGTCTGCTTTCTAAACTAAAGATCATTCTCCTTGTCAAATTTAAGAAAAGCAAAGTACAAGTTTATCAGCTTCCTTTTCTCTTTGTCATGTTTCTGTTTGTTTAAAACCTCATCCTTTTTCCAAAAATAAATTAAGGCAGCTCTGTCATATGTTGTCATCGCACTATTTATCCAAAATGACAGTGTTATCCTTTCTTTTTTCTCTCTTTGCACCAAAACTAACATAGAAAAATACTTTTCTATTTTCAGCATCATTCACAGGTCTCACCCCTTCTGGAGCTTAGCCTTCTTGATATAATTGCTATAGCCACATGCCACTTCTATGTTTATCTATGGGTATGTATCTCTTCTTTCATCTTTTATGTATTTTTAAAATAGAGCAATAGAGCCCTCCTAACTGTTCTGTAAGAATTTGGGAGGCTGTAGAGCACCCCACATCTATTAAACTTCCTTCCATTTAGAATCTCAAGATCTATATCTAAATCTTCCTACATGTTTTTGATCTTTTTTCCTTCTAAAATGCTCAACCATTCTCTCATGGGCTCTTGTGTCAGTAATTTCTTCACAGAGTCTCAATTACCTAATTTCCCTTTTCATTGGTCATGACTTAGACTACAGCAGGGGTGTCAAACTCATTTTCACCAGGAGCCACATCAGCCTCGCAGTTGCCTTCAAAGGGCCAAATGTAATCTCAACTCATTAACAGTCAAGGAGTAGTTACATCTATACAGTCCTGAAATTAATTCGGCCCTTTAAGACAAACTTCAAGGCTGATGTGGCCCCCGGTGAAAGTGAGTTTGATACTCCTGGACTAGAGTCTTAATAACCTCTATTAAACTAACGAGTTTGTAAGTGTAGAGATGATCAGTAAAGTATAGATTGATGAATTCTCTACTTTTTAGCTGAATGAGACCTTATGGCATGTATGTGAGCAGTAAAAGTCCTGCATTGCTCGTCTATAACACCTCTGTGCTAGTTCTATTAGCTATGTGCTACATCAAAAAAAGATCCTTAAAAAAAAAAAGTGGTCCTCTTGTCCCAGCCCACTGATCTGGCCAGGCGTGCCAGAGTATCTTGTTTCTCATTCCTGTGACAAAGAAGCTAGAGACTAACTTTATCGCTTCAAATGTCCAAACATGGGAAAGTTCATGAATAATAACTGCTCTTGAGTTGTTAACATAAATAAATACATGCAGGGTACCTGGTGAAGACTTGGTGGGATGAGTCACAGGAACACTTGCAAAGCTGTTTTCTATGGCATTGCTGCTGTGCCCCCCAATAGCCCACAACAATAAACCATAAAGTCTTATCAGACATTCTCTTCTCCTCCACTTGAAACACTTCTGTTTTCAGTTGAGAGCTCTCTTCATCCATTCTCCAAGCCTCTCTCATCGAACCATTCCTCCTACTCTCATGAGGAACATTCCATCTCTAGTCATTTTTGCTGCTGAGAGTGTGTTCTTGTAATTAACCAGACACCCATCGACTCTTAGGAACAGGCAGTGCTGATAAGTAGTAAAGAGTGAAAGTTCCAGAATTAGACCACCGCAGTTCAAGTCCTGCCTCAAGTCCTGCCACAAATGTTGGTACTTGAGCAGGTTATTTACGTGCTTTATGGCTCAGTTTTTTTCAACAATAAAATGAGGCTAATAATAAGGTTGTTGTTAGAAAAAATTAGATAGTATTACCTTAGCAAAGTGGTTCACACATAGTCAATATGCAATAAAGTCTAGTTATCTTAAAAAAGGACTGCCTCTTTTAAAAAAAATATTTTTCATAACTTAATAATACAGGGGATGGCAAAAGTAACACCTGCTTGAGTGTGGTTGGTAGGGTACAAGAATGTCTCACACAAGATGGACAGCAGTTTGAACATTTCACCTAAAATGTCAGACGGTGTGCTTGAGTGTGTTATTGTTATGGTAGAGAATTGCATGCCTATGATTCTTTTTTTTTATTTTAATCATTGTTCAAATACAGTTTTCTCCTTTTTACTCCCAATCCAGTCGCCCTTCCCACCCCTCCCCACTTCCCTCCCATTACCACCTTCCCCTTAGTTTATGACCATGTGTCCTTTAAGTTTGTTCCTGTGAACCCTTCCCACTGTCCCCTTAAATTCCCTCTACTCTCTTCTGTGGGCATTGTCAGCCTGACCTCTATTTCAGTGTCTTTGGTTATATTTTGCTTGTTTCTTTGTTTTGTTATTTAGGTTCCTGTTAAAGGTGAGATCATATGGTATTTGTCTTTCACTGCCTGGCTTGTTTTGCTTAGCATAATGTTTTCCAGCTCCATCCACGCTGTTGCAAAGGGTAGGAGCTTCTTCTTTCTTTCTGCTGCATAAAATTCCATTGTGTAAATGTACCATAGCATGCCTATGATTCTGTAGTAAAACATTTTCTAATAAAAAGGGACGTTATTGTGCTGGACCCTGTATTCAATAGCAGCTAAAACAAGCCAAACAAATGAACATTGGGGACTTTTCTAATGAGGGATTTAAATTCCTGACAGGCTATGGTAGTTAAACTACTCTCCAGAAAATCCATTGCATTTTTGATACATTTAGTAGCTAAACATTTGCCTCTCATGCCCACATTTTATTTCCAAAGTACCAGCATTCAGGTAGAAGACTAGATAACACTACCTGTGCCCAGCAGTCTAACACTTTTTCAAGATGTCAAAGTTTTCAAAGAGGCTGAGTTTTTCACACCTAGAAGGTGTCAGCCTAATACACAGGATTCACCTGGCGGAGTCAGTAGAGAGTGGGTTTACTTGGCTTTGTCAGGCTTCACTTCACACCCCAAGCTCATGCTTTAGAAAGGCAGCATGACTGCCAATGGAGTCGGTCACCAGTCACAGGGTAAGTCCCTCTCCCTGACAGCAGTGGTAGATTTTCTCTGGCCAACCATTACTTGTCAGTCTTCCTTATTATTTATTATTACGAGAGGATCAAAGTGCTAGTGCCATACAGGATGAAACTAAGAAAGCAGGGCTTGAGAAATAAAGGAAAACCAGGAGGCAAGTGCACTAATCCAGACATAAATAAGGTCACCAGGACCCAGACTAGGAAGGGAGAAACTGGAAAAGAGAAGAAAAAATTATAAGCAATAATGTTTAGGAGGAATTTAGGCTTTGGGGACTGATTATATGTGAAATACACAGAAAAGTTCAAGGTTTCAGAGTTGGAAGTTTTGGGCAAGAGTTGAATAACTGGTAGTGGTCCATGGACCTGGGTGAAGCATAGTAGAAACATAGTCATTTGGTGAGGAAAAGAGAATCCAAAAAAAAAGAGGGACTGACCAAGAATTTTGTTTACCCAAGAAGTGATATCCATGTGAATCAGTCAGAGAGAGAATCCTGGTGATAATCAAGATAGTATATTGTGTTTCAGGGAAAAGTGGCTTTTTTATAAATCCTAGTAATAATGTATCTATTTCTGAATAAACATTCAAAAGAAAGTGACTCAAATTAAAGAACAGACTAAGTAAATAGTAGTAAGGTTATATGCGAATAAGGTAATAATTATTTAAGTCATACATAAATAAAATGAATCTGGGAAATATTCTCACAATAGGAAAACACTCAGGGGTTAGGATAAACCTAAAACGGGTAAAGTTATAAATGTTACAGAGTACCCCAGTGCTGGTCCCAGGGCTACAGTTCCCAATTCCCTCAAGATGGGAAGGGGAAGGCTTGGTCAACTCCTGAAAGCCCTGAGTTTCCTTCCCATCTTAAAAATCTGTCTTTTCTCCCCAGAGTTGCAATTAGGTTTGAGACTGAAAGCCTTCAAAAACAGATTTTCCATTTTCCCAAATGGACGATTTGCACATCTGAGGCCTTTTTTTCAGGGTGAACTGCCCCACATTCCTTGGCTCTTGCCGGGGCCATTTCTTCACACCTGCATATCTTCAACTCTCATAATTCTGTCTTTAACATAAATAGTGGTTTACCTTTAAAGCCACCCATTTGGCTGCTTTTGAATCAGGTGTGGGCTGTTTATCTTCCAAAAGTTTACTCGATTCATCTGCTGGCTGAATTTCAGAAGTTTCCTGAGGTTTAAATACCATACTTTCTGTTTCTGAGGCTCCCTTTTCTGATGTATCCTCTTGATCAATCTGGAAAGCACTTGATACAGTTTCAGAAAATTCCTCCAACTCGTTCTGTTAGAAAACATAAATGTATAAGAATTTTTTCATTGGTCCTTCAAAGTTCTGTCATATAATTTTTTCTTTGACAACAAAATTATACAAGGCATGAATGAAATTAAAAAGAGGTAGTAAGTTTCCTTTGAAAATTTACAAAGAGAAACTCAAATTGACTTAAGAAAAATATAAAGTCTGGCAAATTATTTTCCTCAGCCCTTGTCTCAGAAAATAGAAGCAGTTATTATGCACCATCTCTAAGGAAACAGGACTCCAATCTGACCCCGACTATACCCCACACTCACACAGAATCAAGGCCCACTGAAATATTTAACCTCTGACCAACCTCAGATTCTTCAGTCCTGAAAAATGGGATTCCTCCTAGCTTGATGCTCTTCCAGAACCCTGCCTTCAGGTACTCAGAGAAGAGTTGACCCAGAGACCTCAAGAAGACCACCTGGACACCCCCATTGCATCCTAAGCCCAAATAAAAAGTTCTCACAAAATAGCACTCCTACCTCTGTGTTGAGTTCCTTAAACATGTCTCACTCTCACCACTCTTACTCAACATAGTTCTAAAAGTCTTAGCCAGAGCAATCAGGCAAGAGAAAAAAGTAAAAGACATCCATATTGAGAATGAAGAAGTAAAAGTATCACTTTTTGCAGATAATATGATTCTGAGGAGTCTAAAGACTCCTCCAAAAAAATACTATTAGAAGCAATAAACAAATACAGTAAAGTTACAGGATACAAAGTCAATGTATAAAAATCTACTGCATTCCTACATGCTAAGGATGAAATTTCAAGAAAAAATGAAAAAAAAATCTTTTTGTAATTGCAACAAAAAAATACCTAGGAATAAACTTAACAAAGGATGTGAAAGACCTATATACTGAAAACTACAAAGCATTATTCAAAGAGATTGAAAAAAGACACAATGAATGGAAAGATCTTTTGTGTTCATGGATTGGAAGAATCAACATAATTAAAATGGCCATATCACCCAAAGCAATATACAGATTTAATGCAATCCCCATCAAGATCATAATGTTATTTTTTAAAGAAATAGAACAAAAAACATAAGATTTGTATGAAACCGCAAAAGTCTTCAAATAGCCAAAGCAACAATGAGAAAAAATAACAAAGCCAGAGGTATAACACAACCTGACTTCGAATTATACTACAGAGTTACAATAACTGAAACAGTGTGGTATTGGCAGAAAAACACACACACAGACCAACAGATCAATGAAGAGCCCAGAAATAAAGCCACATGCATATAGGCAAATAATTTTTGACAAAGGAACCAAAAACACAATAGACAAAAGAAAGCCTCTTCAATAAATGGTGCTGGGAAAATTGGATATCCACATGCAAAAGAATGAAACTGGATTACAAGTTTTGTCCCCATGTACAAAAATTAATTCAAACTGGATCAGAAACCTAAATGTAAGATCTGAAATGATAAATTACATAGAAGAAAACACACATACTGAATTTATGGATCTTAGTTTTAGAGAAGATTTTATGAATTTGACACCAAAGGCAAGACAAGTAAAGGCAAAAATAAATGAATGTGACTATATCAAAACAAAAAACTCCTGTACAGCAAAAGAACCCAACAACAAAACACAAAAACAACTAACCTGATGGGAGATAGTATTTTCAAACAACAGCTCTGACAAAGGAGTTAATTTACAAAATATATAAAGAACTCATACAAAGCACCACCAAATTAACAACAGGACTAAAAAATGGGCAGAGGACCTGAACAGACACCTCTCCCAAGAAGAGATATGAATGGCCAACAAATATAACAGATGCTCAACTTCACTAGCAAATTATTAGGGAAATGCAAATTAAATCTACAACGAGATACCCCCCACACACACCTGTTAAAATGGCTATTCTCAACAAGACAGGTACCTTTAACAGATAATTGGATAAAGAAGATATTGTGCACATATACTATGGAATATTACTCAGCCATAAGAAAAAATGAAATACTGCCATTTGCAAAAATATGGATGGACCTCAACTACCTCAAGTAGATTATGCTAAGCAAAATAAGGCAGACAAAAAAAGCTAAAAACCACATGATTTCACTCATCTGTGGGATATAAAACTGAAATTCATAGGCACAGACAACAATATGATGGTTACCAGAGGGAAGGGAGTACAGAGATAGTAAAGAGTGAAGGCCAAATATAGGGTGTCAGAAGATGATTTGACTTTGGGTGGTAGGCACACAATGCCATATACAGATCATTTATCATAGAGATGTACACTTGAAATCTACATGATCATATTAACCAATGTCCACCCAATAAATTTAAGAATGGCACAGCCACCAAGAAATGTCTCACTGACTTCATGTGTATCTCACCAAGTCTTGAGGAGAGCATCTTTTTAGTTATATTTGGGTATTACCCAATTTTAAACCAAGATTATTTGGGATTATGAGGCACTGGCAATTAAAACTTCACTGCCTTAGGTTAGCAGATGATAAACCAATCTGACTTAAATAAAAATCCGAAGTCCATACAATGACTCGAAAATGCAACTGTATCTTTGTTCTTTGATATATTTACTTGTTAAGAAGTAAAATAAATAGTAAAGATGGCATATAGTATCAAATGCTGTAAAAGCTTATTAATAAGCAATTGATGGCTAAGTCAAGAAATTTGTTTGTAAAACACAGTTTGAATCTGGAGCTCATACTTTCATAAAGCTACTAGATGGTGTTGTGGAAAGATTAAGAGTTTTGTAACCAGATGGGAATTAATTCAAAACCTGTATCTGTCAATTAATAGATGGGTGATCTTGGTCAAGTTACTTAACTGTTTTTTGGCCTCATTTTCCTCTTTGATTAAAAGGAGCTAATAAAATCCTTTTCATAAAATGGCAGAATAGAGCCCTGGCCAGGTAGCTCAGTTAGTTGGAGCAATGTCCTATTCACCAAAAGTCTGCAGGTTCAATCCTTGGTCAGGGCACATAGCTAGGCTGTGGATTCAGTCCCTGGTTGGCACACATACAGGAAGCACTGATTGATGTTTCCCTCACATCAGGTCTCTCTCTCCCCACCCCCCTCCAACACCTTTTCTCTCTTTCTAAAAATTAATGGAAACATGTCCTCTACTAAGGATTTTTTTTTAAATGGCAGAATAGCCCTGTCTGGTGTGACTCAGTGGATTGAACACTGGCCTACAAACAGAAAAGTCACTGGTTCAATTCCTGGTCAAGTTACATGCCTGGGTTGTGAGCCAGGTCCCCAGATAGGGGTGTGTGAAAAGCAACCAATCAATGTGTCTCTCCCTCTCTTTCCCCCTCCTTTCCCCTCTAAAAATAAATAAATAAAATAATATTAAAAGCCTATCTTCTTTTAAAAAATAAAAATAAATTTGAAAAATTAAAAATGGCAGAATAGATACCCTGGGATGTGTTATGGGCTCTATACTGTCTACCTATGACAAATTCATTCATTCATGTATCATAGCTTTTGGCACTGTTAATCACTCCCTTCCTTTTGAATTTCTCTATTCCTCAACAAACTCCTCCAGGGTTCTGGTTTGTGAGACTGAATAGATGCAGGTACCACCCTCCACAATAGAAAATGGAGGGAGAAAAGCTTGGGGAGAAGGCAATATAGCCTTCCAGCTGCAGCTGAGCCTCATCTGCCAGTCTCTCCTCCTCCACAAAGTTTCTCCTGATCTTATCACCACTCTGTGCCCTTCCTCTATTGCAGCATGTATCCCACTATATTGCAATTGTCTAAATAATCATAAGCATAATTATCAATAAATATGAGCATTATCTCATTAAATTTTAATCTTCATAACTCCATGAAATAGGACCTGTTTGGAACCCCATTTTTTAAAAGATTTTATTTATTTATTTTTAGAGATAGGGGAAGGGAGGGAGAAAGAGAGTGAGAGAAACATAGATGTGCAAGAAATACATCGATCAGTTGCATCTTGCAAGCCCCCAACTGGGGACTTGGCCTGCAACACAGACATGTGTATGGACTGGGAATCAAACCGGCGACCTTTTGGTTCACAGGGCAGCACTCAATCCACTGAGCCACACCAACTAGGGCTATAATCCCATTTTATGGATATAGAAACTGAGGCTTAGAGAAGTTAAGTAACCTGCTCAAGGTCACACTGAGAGTAAATAGCAGACCTGTAATTGAACCTAGACAGCTTGATTCCAAATTGCACTCTCTTACCCTCTTTTCTTCTCCACCCACCAGACTAGTGGTTCTCAAAGTGTGGTCCACCAACTCCTGACAACCTTTGACTTTCAGGGGATCTACAATGTCAAAACCAGTGTCATAATAATATTAAGGACTTTTTTGCCTTCTTCACTGTGTTGATATTTGCACTGATGATGGCAAGCAGTGGTGAGTAAAACAATGAACCAGTACTTTTCAAATGATTAACTCATGAGGTTACAAAATCGTGCAGGGATTAAAGATCCACTCAAAGAACAAGGTAGATCAATAGATTTTAATGTATTGATATAAAATGATATACAGTAAGCTCCTTTATCTGGTTTCACATTTCCCACTGCAACTGATCTTTAAGAAACTACCACTTGTGGAATTTTAATGTACTAACAAAGAAGAGTATCTATAACTATGTAAAAAGGCTATTGAAATATGACTCCCTTTTTGAGACCAGACTTACTTAATATACTTCAACCAAAAGACCATATATAATAGATTGAATGCAAAAGCAGATATGATAATCTAGCTCTTTGTTAAATCAGATATTAAAGAGATTTACAAAAATATAAGAGGATCGTACCCTTTTCACTAAATTTAGTTTTAGCTAATATTATGTCCTAAACATTTTTTTAATTTAATATATTTTATTATGCTATTACAGTTGCCCCATCTCCCCCCCTTTATTCCCCTCTGCCCTGCACACCCCCTCCCACCTGTATTCCCCCTCTTTAGTTCACGTCCATGGGTTGTACATATAAGTTCTCTGGCTTCTACCTTTCCTATACTATTCCTAACCTCCCCCTGTCTGTTTTCTACCTACCATCTATGCTACTTATTCTCTGTACCTTTTCCCCCTCTCTTCCCCTCCCACTCCCCCCCTCTGATAACCCTCCATGTGATCTCCATTTCTGTGATTCTGTTCCTGTTCTAGTTGTTTGCTTAGTTTTGGGTTTTGGGGTTGTTGTTTTTTTTAGGTTTGGTTGTTAATAGCTGTGAGTTTGTTGCCATTTTACTGTTCATATTTTTTATCTTCTTTTTCTTAGGTAAGTCCCTTTAACATTTCATATAATAAGCTTGGTGATGATGAACTCCTTTAACTTGACTTTATCTGGGAAGCACTTTATCTGCCCTTCCATTCTAAATGATAGCTTTGCTGGATAGAATAATCTTGTATGTAGGTCTTTGCCTTTCATGACTTCAAATACTTCTTTCCAGCCCCTTCTTGCCTGCAAGGTTTCTTTTGAGAAATCAGCTGACAGTCTAATGGGCACTCCTTTGTAGGTAACTGTCTCCTTTTCTCTGGCTGCTTCTAAGATTCTCTCCTTATATTTAATCTTGGCTAATGTAATTATGGTGTGCCTTGGTGTATTCCTCTTTAGGTCTAACTTGTTTGGGACTCTCTGAGCTTCCTAGACTTCCTGAAAGTCTATTTCCTTTGCTAAATTGAGGAAGTTCTCCTTCATTATTTGTTCAAATAAGTCTTCAATTTGTTGCTCTTCCTCTTCTCCTTCTGGTACCCCTATTATTCTGATGTTGGAACGTTTAACGATGTCCTGGAGGTTCCTAAGCTTCTCATTTGTTTGAATTCTTGTTTCTTCAATCTGTTCCAGTAAAATGTTTATTTCTTCCTTCTGTTCCAAACTGTTAATTTGAGTCCTGGTTTCCTTCCCATCACTGTTGATTCCCTGTAGGTTTTTCTTTATTTCATATAATGCAGTCTTCACTGCTGCCTGGGTCTTTTTTTATGCTATTGAAGTACCCAATTAGTTCTTGGAGCATCCTGATAACCAGTGTTTTGAACTGTGCATTTGATAGGTTGGCTGCCTCTTCATCACTTCGTTGTATTTTTTCTGGAGCTTTGATCTGTTCTTTCATTTGGGCCATTTCTTCTTTTTTGTCTCGATGCGCCTTTTACATAGCAAGGGGCAGAGCCATAGGTGTCCGCCAGGGTGGGGTAACCATATCACTTAGTTGAAACACTGTACGTGGGGGAGGGGTCCAAGAGGGAATGTTGCCACTTGCTCCACTCTCTGCTGGATTTCAGTCACTTCCCCCACTACCCACAAGCAAATTGGGCCCTTCTGGTGCTGATTCCCGGGTGGGTGGATTTGTGTATGTTCTGGGACCCTGTGGTTCTCTCCAATGAACTCTCCTGTGAAGCTGGGAGTTTCTCCCGCTGCCGCCTCAACCCCCACAGGTTTTTTCAGTTGGAAGTTTTGAGGCTTTATTTTCCCCATACTGGAGCCCTGGGTTGTGCGGTCTGTCTCGCTCCCCAGTTGTTATTCCCGGTTTATCTGCACACTGATATGGGACGACCCAGTCTGTAAGCCACCGCCTCGCCCACCCTGGTCCTCCAGCTGCAACCTTGCTGCGAGTCCTCTCTGTCCGGCTGCCCATTTCCACCCCTCCTACAGGTCTGGTTGAATGTTCCCTCTTTAACTTCTTGGTTCCATACAGTTCGATTTTCTGTCAGTTCTTGTTTTTTGTTTTTAAATTTGTTGTTGTTCTTTTGGTTGTGTGAGGAGGCACTGTGTATCTACCTAGACCTTCATCTTGGCCAGAAGTCAAAATGTTTTATATTAGTATGTAATTGGCTTATTATTTTAAATAAATGAATACATATTTTACATGTTTCTCTGTTTTAATTTCTAATATGGCAAATATTAGTTGATAATCCACATAGACTCAAACATAAACTTTGTGTCTGCAAAATATTTTTAAGAGTTTAAAGATATCCTGAGACCAAATGTTTGAGTACTTAAAAACGTTCAAGTTCATAAATTCCTTCTTAAAAATTGTGTCACAGCTACATTTTATATCTCAAGCACTTAGAGCATTGAAGATCTTCTGCTATTATTTGTGAATGAGTGAATGGCTAACTGAAATGAAGTTATTTCAGTGTTTTTTGCACCATGTAATTAGTCTCTATTTAGAAAATACACAAAGATTATTTAGAATAATCTCTATTTGGAATATTTTGTCTCCTTATATACTGGTCACCATGTGAATTCCTCAAGGGCAAGAACTGTCTTTTGTATCAACTATGTCTAAAAAAAGTGTCTGCCATATTATAGTGAAAAAATGAATGAATACATTCCTCGATTTTTGTGTAAGTATGTCAGGAAATAATTCTCCACAATCACTCAAAATCTATTTTATTTTAAATGGTGGGTACTTAAAAGATGATATTCCATTAAGAAAGCTCTTTCACTCCATCTCTTTCTCCCTCACTCCACCTCTTTCTAAAATAATTGTTTTTAAAAAAGAATGCTCTTTTGTAAGAGAAAACAAGTTGCATCAAAGAGACCTCTGGCCTGTGGACCTGAGCTATCCACAGCTGAGGCTGCAGTGCTCTGAGGACAGGCGCAGGGCACCACTTAGAAAGAGTGGGCCCTCTGGGGATGGGAGCACGTGGGCCGCTGCGGTGAAGATTGATCTTACACCAAGTTTCCAGAAGTCTAAGGAAGAAGTAGGGTGAACAAATGGACTTCTACTCTCTGGAACAGAGTAGGCACCCAAAAATATGTCTGGAATGAAAAATACTACAGAGGAGCCTAATTTTTATGATGGCCAGTTACCGACTTAAAAGGTATTTGACATCTAAAGAAGTGGTAAGCTTCATCTTAAAAGGCCAGTGACCAGAAAACGTCCAGCGATTGCTTGTAAATGTCAAAGCTGAAGGTATGGTTCCCAGAGAATTACAATTAAATCAATATTTTGTTCAAACCTTCATGTTCAATCATCAAGATGATGTCTAAGCCAAGTACCTAACAAATGGCTTTTTAATCAGTTTCTTTCAAAACACTACTTTTTCTTATACTTTACAAAAATGTGTAGGGAACAGTATTAAGTAACTTATTCTATTAGTGAAGATTTCTATTTTTCTAACCTAATATTATATTTGCAGCTTACTACCTATTAGAAACTTAGAGGTCAGAGGTTTTCACATCCACCTGTAAATGGTGTTACTCAGAGGAACTACCCTAGATGTCAGTTTTAAGCCCACAGCATATGGGGTAAGGCTTCAGAACTGATGAATCACATAGTAGTGCCACACATGCTGGGTTCTGAGGCCGGTGATGAGACTATAAAGGGGGAAAACACATGGTCTCAATCTGGAAGCATCTCAGTCTCTAGTAGTTCAACCATTTAAAATAACTCTAAAATTACCAGATCCATGGCTTTTGTGAAAAGATTACACACATTTTCTAGACATAACCTGTTACCCTAAAAGTGAAGTTTGAGCTGAATTTTTATGTATATGGAATCATATTTTCAGGAACTAAAGGAGCTTGCTATTTAATAATACCACTTTACAATCATTTGTAAAGGAATTGACTGTCATGCCCCCATTTGTTTTACATGGATGTAGACTACTTTACACAGAGAGACACTTCCCATTCACAGGGAATGTGTTCCAGATGGCTCTGAATCACATAAGTATGTTTACAATGATGAACAAAAAGAAGCATTATTCCTGAAACAAACTTCTGTCACTAAGGTCCACATTTTTCTACAAAATTCTCCCCTTGTCAATGCTTTTCACAATCCTTCTAGCTAAGTAAATAATAATGTGATGCTCTCTTAGAAGCTAATACTTTTAATGAATTCTCCAACTACCTGCTAGATCTGAATGTCTCTAGACCAGAATTTTTTAAATCGTTCCCTTCTGAAATGAGTTTGGGACCTTAGCTCAGAAGGTCTCTGACAGGCAGCAACAGTGAACCAAAATAGCCAAGCATCCCAATGTGGTACTGGATTAGATGTACTTACAGTTAAACACACCTCCAAAATAAATCAAAGGAGTTATTTTTAAGATTTTATTTATTTATTTTTACAGAGAAGGGAAGGGAGAAAGAGAGGGAGAGAAACATCAATGTGAGAGAAAAAACACTGATCAATTAGTTGCCTCTCACCCACCCAAATAGGACTGACCCCACAACTGAGGCTTATGCCCTGACCTGGAATCAAACCAGAGACCTTCCACTTTGTGGGACAACGTCCAACAAACTGAGCCACACCAGTCAAGGCTCAAATGAGATTTTTTAAAAACTGTTCACATAAACATTCAAGAAACAGGAGGCAGACTGTTACTTCAATATAGGCAAGGAGGACATTTAATAAAGACTTTACCATTTGAGGTTCCTCAATACTTATCTGTAATCCTTGCTCTGATTGCACTTGAGATGTTTTGTGCCAGTACATTTTTCCCATTAAAGAAATATCCTTGAAGAAAAAAACACAATTAAAATAATGTCAATTTTAAATGTCACTGATGCATATTATTCAATGTAGCAAAATGCTAATCATCATAAGTCAGTAAATTAGTACTATATATAAGAGAAATACATGTGAGTCAATGTTATACATAAAATGAGAAATGCAGAAGAAAAGACAATAAAAATGTTACCTATTATTCCAATTTTATGGCTTTTTAAATCATTGATCTCTATAAATATATTATCCGACTGAATAAGACAATTAGATATTAAATTAGATACTTTAAAACACCGCTATTAAATGGCTACATAAAAAAGATAAAATCAAAACCAAAATTTAATCTAACCAAGAGCAAGAAAGGATATGAATATACATAAGATTTTAATAGGTATAACTGTTAGTGTCATTCTTATCATAACTAATGCTAAGTTCTACGATATACTCTCTACTCAGTGGAATTAGTAAACAGCACACCACAACATCTAACAATGGATAGGAATAAAAAGACCCAGCTTCTGCCCAAACTGTAAAGTTAGACCAGCCATCAATAGGCAAATTATTTTGCTAACCTTCACCTCAGTTTTATCATTGTTAAACTGGATATTTGCATATATGACTCTTAAAGGACTCTTTCTTATCTAGTCTTTTAATAATGTCAAATGTCAATAGTAATATATGAACATGCACTGTGCTTTAAAACTCTGCTTCTCTACCTTTTCTTCGCTTCATTAAAAATATGCAACTGAGGCTACTAGCTTCTACTCTACCTTGTCATAAATAGCTATAAAATTGGACAAAATACAAAAACAACCCTTTTTGGATTGTACAACAGCATTGCAAGGCTATGATGACTAAGAGGTTGCAAAAAATGACTAGGATGACTATGATGGTTGCAAAAAGGAATTAGGAGACAAATTACCCCAGATTTCTGTCTTACACAATTTCCAGACCATAACACAATGAAGTGGAAACCACATAGGGCCCAGGGGTCCTACTGAGTTGAAGAGACAGAAATTAAAGCAAGAAGAAGACAAAAGGGTAGAACTTGCTAAGCACAGTATGGAAAGAAGGGAGCCGCACACAGAAAGAGGCTCCAAAAACCTGCAGAAACCCTCAAACGGTCCTTGACTCTGGCTGGACACCAATCTGCTCACAGGGAAACCTGTGAGACCCGGCAAACAAAAACTGCCAAAGAGGGGAGGGTGGTGGGGACAATTACCAAAGAGCTGTAAACCGTAATTCCCAGAGCTCACACAAGCTGGGAATCAATCAGTTCTCCCACCAGACATACAGAGAATATGACACATCATAAACCTCAGAAGGATTGTACATTAGTAGTAGTGCTAAATTAGCCCTGAAGTAATGTTTTTGGACTTTAACATCATTTTAAGTAATATTTCGAAAGATCAGGGTGATCTTCAAGAAGCTTAACTGCCTATCAGTTTAATCTCAAATATGTTTTAATGAAGACAAAGTCCAAAGCTCTTCAATGTAAAATTCACAATGTTCATCACCCAATCAAAAGTTACCAATTACAGAAAAATCATATATATGTGATATATAACCAGGAGAAAAACCCATAGGAAAAAACCCAGATATGACAGAGATGTTGAAATTAACAGATACAGATCTTGAAACTCATAATATAAATACTGTAAGTGTTCAAAGAGATAAATATAATGAGGAGGAAATGTAAGTTATAAAATCGAATCAAATGGAACATCTACAAAAATGTATATTATCTAAAATAAAAGTTTCACTGGGTGGCATTAATAGCAGAAATGACAATGCAGATGAAAATATCAGTTAATTAAAGACACAGCAATAAAAACCATGCAAAATGAATTACAGAGAGATATTAAAAAATGAAACAAAATGAATAAATATTCAATATATCATATTTAATTGGAGTTCCAGAAAGGGGATGTGGAGAAAGAAAATATCTGTGCAAAAAATGGCCAAAGTTTTCTAAATTTGATGACAACCAATGCAAAAAGTTCCCTGAACTCCAAGCAGAATCACACAAAGAACATTGGGCCAAGAATCTTAAAATCAAAATGTGAAAACTAGTAATGAATTAAAAACCTTATAAGCATTCAGAGAAACATTAAGTACAAATAAACAATGAATTACCAGTAACTAATTACCACAAATTAATGCTGCAGACTTGTCAGAACTATACAAGCCAGAAGATAGGAAGTAACTTATTAGAAAGAAAACAACTGTCCACGTGTAATTCTATGGCCAGCAAAATAGCCTTCAAAACCAAAGGTGAAATATTTTTTCAGCAAACAAAAGGGAAAAAAATTCATCATCATCAAACCTGCATTACAAGAAATATTAAAGGAAATTCTTCAAGCAGAACAAAAATGATATCAGATTAAGATTTGAATGTTCACAATAAAAACAAATAGTAAAATGATAAAAATGTGGGTAAATAAAAGACATTTTTCCCTTTTTCATTATTCCTTTAAAATATAATTGATTAAGTGTGGTGATTCTTGGGGTGGGGGTATTGAGGAGACTAAATGGTAACAGGAAAAAATAAAATAAAGATTTTACAAAAATAAAGACAACAGAGAAAAATAAAAAATAAGCTATAAGAAAGTGTTTAAATAAAATAATAATGTATTGTAAGATTTATAGCATACATCATGTGAGGTATGTATTAATGATAGTACAATGATGGAAAAAGGGAAAAAGTTATACTGCCATAAGATTCTTATACTATATGTGAAATGGTATATTATTTATTGGGATAAGTTAAATATATATAGATGTATACGTATATGTGTGGGTATGCTATATGATATTCTATATGTGTGTGTGTGTATATATATATCAAACCATATAACAGCCACTAAAACAAACAAAGAGGTAAATAAGCAAATCATATGGAATGGCATAAAATACTTTAAAAATCTAATCAAAAGATGTCAAGTAAACAGGAAAAAAAGCAAAGAACAAAGTGACAAATGGAAACCAAATAACAATATCAATAAATCTAAACCCAACCATATCAGTAATTACATGTAAATGGCTCTTAACATTTTAAAGACAGATTGTTACATTGCAGAAAAAGACATCTTACTAGGTGATCACTGTAGGAGACCTACTTTAAGTATAAGGACATAAATAGGTTAAAGTATTGTAAAAGGCTGAACTAAGATTTAACATGCAAACACTAATCATACAAAGAAAAACTAGAGTGGCTATTAATAGATTAGACAGGGTTGGCCTCAAAACAAGAAATATTAGCAGGAGAAAGAGAGTTATTTCATAATAATAAAAGAGTCAAGATCCTCAAAAGACATAGAAATATACATTAATGACAAAACTTCAAAAGACATAAAACAAAAACTAAAAGAACCAAAAACAGAAATAGAAAATTTTACTATTATAGTTGGAAATTTCAAACCAAGACTATATTCAGCTCCAGAGATGTCACTTTTGATAAATATACTAGCTAGACAGTTAATGTGGGATAGGAAAGCCTGCAAAATATTCTTTACACATTTTATGTTAAAATGTACATCATTAAAGCATAAAAGGGTGACAATAATGAATGCCAAATTCAGAATATTATTCACATCTGAGGACAGAGAAAATTATTGGAAAGAAGTACAAAGGGGGTCTCTACTTGCAATTTTCTATTTATTTAAATATTCTGAGGTGAACATCATGAAATATTAAATGTTTAAGAATTTGAGTGATAAGTACTTTTTCTACAGTTGAAATATTTCATAATAAAAACACTTTAAATTTCTCAACATACTTTATGTGGGTAACATAACAATGTCAAAGATGAATAAAAATATTTTTTAAAACTGTATAGTTTACCTCACTTATAAACACATATTGCCAAAATCTCAATGAAAATATTTGCAAATGAAGTTAATCAGCATATTTATAAATAATACATCTTTTTTAAAGTACAGCTTACATTCAATATTATTTTGGTTAGTTGCAGGTGTAGAGCATAGTGGTTAGATAAACATATATTTTACAAAGTGTTTCCCCTAATAGTCCCAGTACTCACACAGCACCATACATAGTTATTACAACGTCACTGACTGCATTCCCTATGCTGTACAGAAACAATACATCTTGACTGAGGAAACTTTTCTCAAAACTGCATGGATAATTCCTTGTAAGTTTATGAACATAACAGATTAACATGGAAATTTATATGATCATCTCAATAACTGCTAAGGAAAATAAATAAAATTCAACTCCTATTTCTGAGTAAAAGTAGAAAGAGAAGAAAACTTAATCCCACAAAAGATATTTTCAGATTCCTGCACCAAACACTAATTCATAATAAAGCATTACACAGCTCAGACCCAATGCAACAAGAAAATAGTAAGTGATAAAAATACTGTAACAGAAAGGACAAAAGTGTCACTATTAACAGATTATGGGACCACATATTTGTGGGGGGAAAAGAATATCAATTGAAAAGTTATCAGACCAAAATAGAGGTACTAAGCATATTTAATAAGTCAACAAATAAAATTTCAGATCAGCAAAGATCCCATTCCTACTGAGCTTCTAATATAAGCAACCAAATGAATGAATCTCAAAAGCAGGTTAAACAGAAAGGCCAGGTTAAAATAGCATCAGAATAGCCAAAAAATACTCTCCTAACCATCCTTTAAAATAAGTATAAAAACAAAAACATATGGAAACTTAAAGTATTTGCCTAGTAAGTCCAGTGCCTGCACTTCTTCAAGGACAGGTTCTACTCATTTTCTTTTCTGTGGATGGACCATACAGTTTATTTCCATGCCTCATAATTTAATGTTGAAAGGCTTATATCAACCCAGGGCGCACTTATTAAATAAGGATTAATGAATTTCAGAAGGAACAGTGAAGATTTTGGTGTTTTAATTTCCCCTCCTCCCATATTCTGCTCTCCAGCTAAACAGCAGCCTTGAAAAAATGACAGTAAAATAAATATTTCAATGATTTTCAGCCATGTGAATGTGTAGGCTGAATGTCTGGGG